CCTTTCTTTCCCTGGTAGGCTCCTTGTCAGCTGGATGCAGTGTTCAGAAACTGTTGGGCGAATGGGTGTCTTCTTGAAAAGCTCCTTTGGTTGCTTATGTATGGGTGTTTCTAAAAAAATGGGCCCCATCCAGGTGTGTGGTTTTCTTGTGGCTTCCCTTTAAACCCATCCAAGAAGGGGTCCCCTACATTTTGAGAAACCCCCAGATAATGGGAAGCCAAAAGGAACACAATTAAAATGGGAGGAGGGAATTTTCATATCAAACAAGTCCCAAGTGGGATGAGGGCATCGCTGACACCCTTAGAGGCCTGGGATGAAACTTCTGATCAACCAACCACCAAATCTCGGTGGTTTTTTTTCGGTTTGTGAGGCTACCCTGTGTCAGGTCGGTTCAAAGGGAACCAACAGGACAGCCATCATTTGTGGAACCCCACCGATTTGCCTACTTTGAAAAATGCCCAAATTCAACTGGGAGACCCGGGGCAGGATCCCAGCTTACAGTGGATTGAAGGTTATCATATGCCTTGCATCTGATTCAGCCACCCCCCCCCCGAAAACAAACCTTGCTAAACAAGAAATCCAAACAAGCAATCAGGTTGGTTTAAAGTTAGGGCATCCAAAAGAACATCCAAACCATTTGGAAGTCACTTCTGTTGACCCCCGGATCTAAGCAGAATCCTCTTTATGTCCCCCTCCACGTCCCCCAACAAAATCCAAGTGACAGATTCCAACATTCATATGCTTTAGTTCAAAAGGGGCAACAATAAATCAACACTTAAGGCACATGGAAGCAAACCGATGCGCAGTTCGGACATTGGAGGCAACTCTCTGATGGCAAACGGCTCCTCAACCAAAATCTCCGGGAGAGGATCTTCGTCCAATCGCCTGGCGCAAAGCAAAACCCGGGCATGGTCTGCCATTTGTTCAATTCCCTGGAGGACATCAAGTTGGACCCACCCCCAAGAGAGCGCGTCTCATTTGCAGCTTGATTTTGGCCCACCCCCCCCCAAAAAAAAAACAGGAGGGGTCTTTGAACACAAGCCTCGCCGTTGCAACGTTTGTGCGACGAGACCTGCGAAAGACATTGCTCGGCGGCTGCACTTCCTAGGACCTGGAAAACCAGGCGGGGTGGGGTGGACCCTTACTAGCCCAACAGGTGATGTTTGAACCACTTCACCCAGGACCCCTGGTGAAGCCCTTCAGAGCTCGCTGATGGCAATGGAGATGGCAAGCATTGCAGGCTATGGCTCGGACTAGTCGGAAAGCCTTCCTGTGAAACAGGCCGATACCACGAGTCTGCGAATTCGACTATGATTCCAGTCAAGCCAAGGATCTACACCATAGCGCGCTCGTTTTACCCCGCGGTTCAGATCACCGTGAAATAGGCAAAACAAAACACACTTCAAGAGAAACAGCCGCACACTCATGGATCTCACTCATTGGCTTGTTTAAAATGGGGAAACCACTGTCTGCAGGATTAAGGACTGACTTTGAACCGCCCAACCTTCTGTACGGTCCAACTCAAGTTTCAACTTTTGATGGGCAACCCCTCACTGTTGCGGGCGTCTTTCAAAAGGAATATCCAAGGAAATGCAGGAAACCCAAGTCCCTCACTTTTTGGCTTCCGAGTCTGCAAGCAGTCGGCCGAAACCCGAAACCCGCCAGCCTCTTGACGCGGACCAGCACTCGCCTTTCCTTGGGATCGGTCGACACTTCAGCTTCCCTCAAAAGGGCGGTTGCCGAATCGGTGGTTTCCTGGTGGAATGGAGGGTTTTCCTATTTACCCTCTACAAGAACCAGGGGCTCAAATCCCCAAACCACCAATCCAAATTTATCAACGGGGGGTAACTACCGGAGTACCGGGGTTGCACCCTCAAAATGGGAATCCCAATTTATCAACGGGGGTGCCTGGGTATTGGGGTTGCACCCTCAGAGTGGGAAGAAAACTACAAGACTGAGCAAGAAAGATGGTGAACATATCTTGCATCACATTGATGCAGTCTTGTCTGAGCGAGGCGTCGCCTCAAGCCTCATCAACCCCGACCCGCCGACCGACAAGCGCCTCGCAAGCCTTGTAGAAAAAAGGAACCCCAGAAAACGGCGATGATTCCATTTATAGTGGGGAAACCACCACTCAACACAGGACAAGAGTCTGTCTAAATCGCATTTTGAATTTGGACCCCAAAAAGTGCCTGCTTCCCTTTGGTTTCCCTTTAAACCAAACCTCCAAACGGGTATCGCCAAAAGAGGAACGAAATTGCCCACACGCGGTTCTGCCCGAACCCCTTGGGCACTGGCATCCGTCTCCATCCGAAGCTCGCTCCAGGCCCCGAGTGTGCTGAAATGGGTTTTGTTTGGAGGGTACGCCTATTTGAAGACACCCACACATTTGTTATTTTCTCAGTTGCTCTCTGCTCCCCTGCTAAAAGTTCAACTTTAGTGGTTTAATGGACAATTAGTTGGCAAAAAGTTAAAGTCCTGACATCAAAGCAAAATGCACCAAAGTATATATACATATGTATATATATACATTATTACACATATCAAAGGGATCAGGACATGCATTTCTCAGCTGGACTTCTCTTTATTTCGGCCCAACCTCCTCGAAGGACTCTTGCCGAAGCCGGGAGGTGCGGAGGGTCGAGTCAAGCCCATGACTCCATAGAATGACATGGTCAAAACTCCGCTTGTTTGGCCGATTGGCTCATGCTTGCCCTAGGAACCAGTAATATGGCTCATGCTTCCCCACAGAATGGGTCATGCTTGCCCTGGCTATGAAGCATATCTCTAACCTTTCGATGACCATCCCTAGTACACCAAGTCAATGAACCGGTTGGACCATTACTCACATCTGGACATGGCTACGATGTGCTCACCCCAGTCTGAGTCCAGTGGCCCTGAAGTCCTGAAGCAAGCGGGTTTCGGGTTTCGTCTCTTATGCCCAAAGGATACGAAAGGACACCGTGGTTCAAACGGAATCCGAAGCTCAACATTTGTTCACCAGTTGAAGGACCCACCACAAACCTGGGCTGCCCGTTTTCTGATCCGCTACAAGTGACGAACTTTTAGCGGGTGAAAAATGGAAATCCAACCGCCAAACGCCAAACAACTAAAAGGCTAAGGGGATGGCTGGGAACCACCAAGAAACAGACATGCCGAGGTGGCACCCTTCCTGGGTTGCAACTAGGTAAAACTCAAGCTGCGCGCGGTGCGGAGCAAAAACGCAGCGCCGAATCGCTGAAGCAGTCACCATGGGAACAGCAGTCACCAATGTCCCTCTGTCCGAGAAAACAAAATAACACCTGCAGGTTCCATTGAATCCATCTGAAATCCAGCCCAGGCTTCTATGAACAAGCTTTTTAAACTTTTCAAACGTTTCTCCACGAATTCCAAGTTCCCCCGTGAAGCAAGTGCAGGATCCGGACCACAGGTCCAAAAAATCGGTCCACCGGCGTGAGATACCAAGGATTGGAAGCTCATGTTGGTTAAAAGGGGAGAAAAAACGGTTCCAGACACATCGGTTACAATCCAGGAAGTTCCAAAGACTTGGACTTTACATCCCTGGTAGGCTACATGTTTTGCGCATGGTTAATATTTCAACTCGGGGTTCACTTCTTAAGAGACACATGCACTCCAGCCACTTGCACTCAAGGCCAATCACCTGGCTCCAAAATGCAATCGGGGCAGCAGGCCAACGTCGCCAATGAGGACACCAAACTTTCAGCGCCAAGGCTGGCTCCATCTGTAGGAACCGGCGTATGCTCACGGCTCAAACGGAAGCCTTTGAGGTTTTGCCTTTTTACGGGGAAACCAACAGGGCAACCGTGGCGCCATTTTGGGGCTGCCTTACAAAGACGAGCAACCCATGTTCAAAGAGTTGGCTAAGGTGATCGCTGGCCGGCCCCACTATGGACTTCCAGGGGGAAAGAGGCCACTTTTTTGTGGTAGTCTGTTTTTGAAGGGAAATCCCTCCGAAAGAAGCGAACAAAAGGGGCGCCACTTGCCTTTCATGGTCCAAAAAGGTGATGTTTTAAACCCCCAACACGGGAAATATAGGGACCTTGAGAAAACGGCAAGCACTCCGCTGCTTTCTCTCTGCTGCGAGCCAGGGAGCTTTAAGACGAAAAGAAAAAGCAAGGACCGGCCCTCCCTGCGACGCCTTTTCCAGGAAATGCTTCACATAATTTCAGGAAGTGATTTCTTGAACCCCAGACTTTGACACGTACACATGCAGTTTTGACTTGTTCTGGTCAATTTGTTCTTGATTCACAAACCGGACATGAGAAATCCCACAGTAAAGGACCTTTTGTCCGGATTGACACAATCTAACTTGGCCGGCAGACTTGAGAGGGTCGATGATCCTCAGCGATAGGTGACACAGCCAGCTGATCTTCAGCCAAGCATTACGTTTGGCTTCCGACGGAAACCATAACCCTTGTGTCTGGGCTCATGCGCAATGAAGAAAGTCAATCTTCTGCGAGTGTTGATGGATGTTTATGGGCAACACTCATAGAGCCATATAGAGCCTTACATGCCCTGTACTTGGATGTTCAACCCACTAAGTAAGTAGGAAACCATGGTTACCAGTACGTGTAATCACCAACTATGCAATAAAAGTACTGGCTCAATTTCGCAACTAAAAAGAGTCGCGTCCTAGACAAAACAAAACGACACGGATCTGATGCCAGAAAATGCTCTCCAAAATTGCGTTGGCATGCCGCTTTGTAGCAACGGCAAAGGCCAAACTTATGCGTACATTCTTCAGGAAGCTGCTTGCTCAAGTTTTACAGGGCGTGTGGGGCAGTTTCTGCCTTAGTTCCGGCTTTGGGGGGATCAGTACTTGATTTTGTGAGTTTTCTGCAGCCTTAGTCAGGCCTGCAGCCCTTACCAGCTACTCGCATTTTCCGAACTGCGCACGACGCTTTCATTCAGCCATGTTATAAAACACTCGTGCCATAAGCAGTTTGATTCAAGCTTAAGATCCTAAGACAACTTTGGATAGGCCCTCTGGGCTGATCAAGACTCTCGCAATCCCTCGCGTCAAGGCTTTCTCGCGCGCAACACGCTCAGCGGAGCTTCGAGCCGCGGCTTGCGCCGATTGCCCGGGACCCGCGACGGGGAACTCCCACTGGAGGCTCCTGAGCCAAGAGCTGAGCTTGAAAGCAAGTCTCACCAGATGAGGTCTGGATAAGGAGCTTTCCTTTTGAGGGCCTTAAACAAGCCTTTCTGGATTTGAATTTTAGTCGAAGACCCCCTCCCAAATGTGGACATAAATCCCCACCTAAATGATGTCCACAAGAGGGCCCCTCATTCAAATTCACACCCCTGGGTCATCCGTCTCCGGGTTATTTCTCTGTTTTTCCGTTCTCCGGGATATTTCCAGGAGACCCTCTGAAAACTAGGAGTTTCAGGTGTTTCAAATGCAGGAATCAAAAAGCAGGAGTGGCTTGCAAAAGGCAGGAGTGAACATCAAAAACTAGGAGTGGTTCTTGGGGGAAACAATTGGATTCAAGAAGGCTTGATCGGGTACAGGGTATCGGGTGTCACCAGCAGTTGTTGTGTTTTAGTTTATATGGGCCTGGATCTTCCAAATCAAGAAAATTCCACGTAAAATCCGGAGACTACCAGTTTTTTGAGGGTCTCAGTGAAAAAACACGGAGTTTTCAAACTCCTGGTTTTTGAGGTAAAACTCCTAGAACTTGATTGTCGCTTCTGGAAATGGTTTGCACACCTGAAACCCCTAGAAATCGCAATTATTCGGTACTTGACGGAAGGAACTCTCCAATTCAGACATATTCTGAATCAGAATCATTCACCTGAATCAGAATTATTTATTCAGAATTCATACTTATTCTGAATTCGGAATTATTGCCTTTGGGCGACAAACTTGCAAAACCGGAAAGCACCACACCTGAAACTCAGCGCAACACCCGCAAAAAGCCCGCAAACTCCCGCAAAAACCCGCAAACTCCGACAAATAAACCAAAAAAACTGAGTTTCCGGAGTGTGCGTAGTAAAATCAGTGGAATACCCATTCCAGTGCAGAGTTGCATAATTGCTGGGATAGTGTACAGAGTTGCACAATTGCGCGCCCAAACAACGAAAAAAGACAACAAGACTTCAAAGACTGTCTTGCTTCCGCACAAAACCTTGAAAGAGCAACAAGGTTTTGTCACAAGTCCTTCTGCACCAACGCCCTCCCCTCCAGCCTAGGGAAGCAATAAATCAGAAGACATGGGTGTGTGTGTGTTTCTTAGAAGGACCCGCCCCCCCCCCCCAACAAAACAACAGAAAGGTCTGGTCCCTTTGGGTTTCCCGTAAAACAACGGGAGACCAACAAAATGGGGTACCCTCAAAAAAAGACACGGCACACCCACCTGGCCACGCCGGCGTTCTGGAAAGCTTCCATGTGCATGTTACATGTTGCTTCGCCCCCTGGAAAAAAATAGGAAAATATGTTCAGCGGTGCGAAATTCCAGTGGAAATTCAAGTTTGAAACCAACAACGAAGTAAATATGCATTTCAGCAAATCAGAAAATCAGAAAAATACTCTCGATGACCCCCATGAAGTAGTCTTATCTGCAGGTTCCGACTCACGTTTCAAAGGCACCGGGAAAGGAACTTGCGAGATCTTGCCAAAGGGTCATGCAAATCTGAAGATCGTTATGTCGACTGTCTTTCAACCTTGGGGATAGCTGACGGTTGCCTCTGACGTAGACATTCTTTAACGCAAGCCACTCCAAACAAGTGAGGATCACTTCACCTCTGCACCGGGATCCGTTTAGCCTTGCAGAAGGTACCAAAACAACATGATAAAGAGAAAGAACAGTCATAATCATCAGAATCATGAAAGGTTTGGAAACTGGAAACGTAATACCGACCCCTGATCAACCAGTCCAGTGAATTGTTGAGGCGGCGTTCAATTCCCCGAAGAGTGCTATGGCTCCCCACTATAAAAATGGGGTGCTCTCTTCGAACAAAGATCAACCAGTATATTCATCTGCCAAATCTATAGTGAGCTCACCTTGTTGATGAAAAATCCAAGTTTTGCTTGTTGGCTCATACCTACAGCTTGATCAATCATTGCTTTCTGTTGGCAAAGCATTGTCTCAAATGGGTTGATTCAACCTGGGCTCCCATGAGGGCACGCCATATAGCTTTCTAGGTTCCCGTAGAACAGCTTGCACCAGCGCGAGCTCGATCAACCTTGCCGACCAACAGATCGATCAATGAGCTGTACCCCTGGGGTTCCAAAGGCGGTTTATTTTGCATATTTTCTGTGAAAGGCGGTTTTTTGCCAGGAGTAGTTTTGTCCAAGCTCAGCTGATATCATTGAACAATTCAGGCGCCGCACGTGCTCAGGACCAAAGTGTGCAAAGACTTGACCTCCGTTCCCACAAAACAAGCGGAGGGATTATCAAAGGACAGGCTGAAACACATAGATTCACCGGTGTCAAAATTCACGGCAGAAAACGTGCTTTCACGCTGGAAAACAGGCTTTCACGCCAATGTCACGGTATTTTCACGGTGATTTCACGCTACTTTTGCGTACATGACGGACAGCTATGTTCACACCAAAAATGTTGTCAAGACATGTTGGGGTGGAACTGGCTTTGTACAATCTAAACGTGGCAACAGCATGAATAATCCATCAAATCCATGCCATGGCTCACTGCAGGCGCAAAAAACAGGCTTTAGCTGCAAAAAACAGGCGAGGTGCAAAGGACGTTTAAAAAACAGTCGTGGATTTCCAGGGGTACCAGTGCTGACTGCTTGGCATGTGGTCATGCCACTGCTCTCGACCAATTCCGACGCCCAGTAGATGCATGAGGCGCGGTGAACATATTGCTGGTCGGCGTGTGACAACTAGTGTATCTCATGTTTTGGATTGTGGGTCCCGCATGTCCCTTGCGAATAGACCATAACTTCATTTCCTGAGCCCAACCCGGAAAACAGAAGTTGCACTAGTTCCACTTTGGTTTGTTCAAAAAGAACAGGGGAGACAACATCCGGGGATGGTGGCGGGATGCCATGCGCGAGCCACGCGTTGCACTGTGCGTCAGACAAGTGCGTGATTGATCAATGCTCGCCAACTGCACGTCAGGGATCGGGAACCACTGCCATATTAATCTCTTCAAGGGTCTGATGCAAACAATATGCCCTGGTGGTATCCCCAATAAAAACCCTCCTCTTGAACCCTCCCAGAAAGCTGCCCCAATTCACCCCTTACCGCTTGTCTGGGCCTATCAGCGTTCAAAACGCTTTGTATGGCCTAGGGGGGGCATTTGCTTGGGTTTCCCTTACAACCAAAGCGGAAGGGAATTCCGCCATGGTCTACGCAAGCGCTAACCAGCTGGACAAATTACCTGGTGGTAGCTAAAGGGATGCCAACCGACAGTTGGTTTCTGAGGGAATGACCCAAATTCATTGTGGCTTGAGGCATTCCGTGGGGTCTTGGAATGAAAGCAAATGGCGCTGATTGCTTGGTTAATTTTCTTGGTGCGAGAGATGCAGGGAATGAGAAATGGAAAGACCCCAAGAGAAACCATCCAACTGGAGCTTTCTTTTAAGGGCACCAATTCCGTCACCAAGCTCAAGGGATGCCGAAGAAAAAGTTGGCTTCTTGGGTTGCTTGCTTGGCTCAGCGTTTTGGGGGGGACCGGTTCCCATTTGGCTGTGGGTCCAAAATACGTACACAAAATGGCACCCTGGTAAATGGAAACAAGGACTAAAACCTGTAGTCCCCTAGTGGTTTAATTTTGACCCATACCCATTTTGAGAAACCTCCATGGCTCCTTCTCCGCGAGCTGTCGCCGGAGCTCTTCCACCTCCTTCTCCGCCGCCTTGCAAATGCAGCGTTTTGAGGTAGATGTGAAGGAGCGCGACATGGGTATGTACCAAATCAAAGGAAAGCTCACAAGTGGACGAACAAGGTGAGGCTTCAGTCAAAAGCAGGGAGTTGGACCCAACATCCTTTTGCCTGTTGGCTTACCTAACAGAACGCGGGACTTTTTGTGTATCGGAAGGCTTTGCCAATCTTGGGTGCCAGCAGTGCACTTCTGGCGGTTTTCCGTTCGCAAGCTAAAAAACAGTTCCCTTAGGGATTCGAGCAAAAGACTGAATCGCCAGCTCCAGGTGTTTCCAGGTCCGGCATAGGCTTCGCACTGGTTTGTCAAAGTGATGCCTCATCCTAGTCTGCGGCCCACAACAAGGGAAACTACTACCAGTAGGTTTTTCGGATCGATAATTACTTTTTTGAGCAAGGGTCTAGGCAAAAACCAATGGGCCCTTGTGAATGTACCCTTAATTTGTACCCCTTACGGGAATGCAAGTGGGTGAAATTCAGGGTCCATTCACAAGGCTAGGCTCTCCAGTAGAGAGGCTAGAATAAGGCTACCCTTTTTTCTCTCGTCTATTTTAGTACGGTGAAAGGGCACTACTGGGGACCTAGAAGTGGGGCCAATTCGGGGTCCATTTCACAGGGGCCAACGAGACTTCGCCTCGCAAAGGGACAAGCTCCACGTGGGATCGTTCCATCCGGAGTTGTTTCGCCTGCGATGTACCATTGGTCATTCCCATGACTACTGTATCAATTTGAAGAGGACTCTCTCAGACTGCCGTCGTCCCTAAAATGTGTTTTTTTCACAACCAAAGGAAAACCAGTGGTTGTGAAAACAAGCACCCGATGGTTTTCATAAGTCCCTGCTTTTGTTCCACGCCCATGGTCTGCCTTTGTGCACCTGAAGCCCCACTCCCCTGCACTTGTTCGCATGCCACCCTTAGGATCAAAATTGGATCCTTGGTGGCAACAACGGATGTTGAAGGGGAGCAATGTGGCCGCATGAAGTTCCAGCGCTCGCTAGCATAACATGAGCTTTTCTGATTCCGAATCCTGTGACTGATTGGAGGGACTCTCAAAGCGACCCCAACCCGATTTCGAAAGTCTCAACCAAACCTCTCGGCCTGGCGCCGCTCCCGCTCGATCTCCAGCTCCTAAGGCAAGGCTGTGTTCCTGGGTGCTTGGAAGACCAATTAGGTGATGTTCCTGTGTTTCCGATTTAAAAAACGAAAACGAGACAACAAGTCCTGACTCAAGCAAAGGGCCAGGAGGCACTGTGCACTCATCATCGAATTGCGTTTTGATCATAGCCCCGTGCTTCCGGATACCTACCACTATAGTAGGCAACAAGGGCACCAACATGCAAACCTAAAGATAAACATACCTAATTACCTACTTATTAGTAACTGGAAGACCTGGGTAAGATACAACAAATATGTGTGATTATTTAGCTCCTCACAATCTATGAGCTGTACAGTATCAAGTCCTTCCTAGTGAATGCAATGCCAGGGCACGCGTTTCTTCCCTGTACAAAGTTCTTCACTGTGTGGATCGGGTCGTGGGGAGGGATGCACAGGTCGTGTCTTTGCCACGGGCACATCTCTGGGAAGAATGTCTGGAAATTAACCGCATTGCAAGGCAAAAGCAACACTTCCTGGAGCTAGGTCCTCCAGTAGAGAGGTTAGAATAAGGGTACCCTTTCTTCTGACGTCCATTTTCATAGGGGACCCCTCCCCCAAAAAAGGGTAAAAGGGCATTACAGTACTGGGGGACCTAGTAGAGAGTCTAACCGTCCAACTACCCCGAATACGAACCTCGAAGCTGCTGGATTCATGGGCAAGCCCGACACCCAAGCAGAAAATCAGCCAGGGGTTCATTATTCCTGGGATCCCATTCATCATTATCCTCCCACCAAATAACATGGAACCTGACAGGGGTCCCTTTAATAGAAAAATTGTCTTCCAGGACCCCCCTGTCAGGTTCCATGTTAATTGGTGGGAGGGTAACCCAAGCCATTGATAACTTACGGTCACAATTCCGTGTTGCCCCGAGGGGACATGGACAATTTAGTGAGTGCCCTGGCGAGGCCGTAGACAAATTTAGCGAGTTCTCCCATGCCCCTTCCAAACAGACCATACACTTCCAGTACTTCTGACCGACCCGTACCTGTGGATGCACGAAATCCTGCACCACATTGAAACCGTGCTTGAAACCCTCGTTTGTTTGGTATTCACAAGGAAACCATCATTCCAGGGATTCTGAACGCTGGTGCCAAATGGATATCATCCGCTGACAGTATTAACCCATATTCATTCTTGAGCTGGGCAGTCCTCGGATCCATTGCTAAAAGTTTAGTTTTTGGGGGATCAATGGAATCCCCGGGCCCACTCAACCCAAAAACAACTCTCAAAACCTAAGGGGATGGCTGGGAACCACCAAGTACCCTCCCACCAACCAAAATGGAAGTGCAAAAAGGCCCGTTCCAAGAGGAAAGTAGTCTTTCTACAGAGGTCTGCGCACAAACCCAAGTTCGCGGGTGGGAGCGTAACCTATGTTCGCCCTTTTCAACCCATACTGTGGATGGACACAATCCTGCACCGACTGGAAACCATGGGAAGCCATTCTTTGTTGGTATTTATATACAGGGGGAATCATTTTCTCAGGTTTTTTTTTACTTAGGTGGTGCGAAATGGAGTTCGTCCCCCAGTAGGTTCGCCCATCTCAACCCACATCAACCTCTTCCCCAAGGCCCCGAGGCCCGCGCCAGGGAGAGCACGGTGGATCGGCAGGACCGGCTCGACGCCCCTGGCGAGAACCCGCGCGTCTTTTGGGGCGAGCACCGGGTTTTTGGGGACTGCAATCGGACACGGACTTTTTGTAGTTCCTGACACCAGCCATGTCCGCACTGTAGATGGGTTGGTCCAGAAGCTCCTGAGCAGGAAAAGCTGTTTTTTTTTTGCAACCAAACAGGGGTTACCCCGAAAAAACAACAGACCCAGATGTCCCTGCGAGAAACAATCCATGGTGCAGAGACAAGCTAGTGTGGCATGTCTCACTTCCTGAGTGCAGTGGATAAATATGTATATATACATACATATGTGTATATGTACATATTACAAATCTGGGTATGGGTCAAATTGGAACCACCAGCGGACAGCAGGTTTAAGTCCATGCTTCCATTTACCAGGGTTCCATGTTGGGTACCTTTTTTTGACCCACAGCCATATCTTGTCTACACGGACACTATCATGGGTTTCCCAGAAGACATCCTGTCCACTGGTCTATGGATCCAGTTCCACACATAAGGAACAGGGGGTCCCCTTCAAAAGTTGCAGTTTACTGGTGGTTTCGAATGAAACGATCGCCACTTTTGGAGGTTTCAGAAAGGGTAGTGGCTCAGAAGCCCCCGGGGAACACCACCATTGTGAGAAGTGTGCGACCTATTTAATTAGGATTCGCATGTGAGAAAAGCAAATGCCACAAAGTACAAGCAAGTAAGCATTTGTTTGTTCCCGTATAACCTGTTCTGAAAGCATCCTCTCCAGGCTTTGCAAACACATCAGGTTCGCTCATTCTGAACCATGAGCATTCAATCCGCCAGTGCCTGGTGGAAAACCACACACCTTTGCTGGTTGATGTTGAAGTGTGGAGGTTACAGACCTCTTGCAAAAAGTGGCAAATACTGTCCTTGTCTCCTCATAAACGTGGTATCTGGAGCCACCGGCAATATTTGGAATATGGAGCCACCGTCAATATTAGCCCCAGTGACATTGGATCTTCTGAGTACTCCCCCCATGTCCTAACGGCAGTTTGGTTGGCGGGTGTGACCCATGTCATAGCCTTTGCTAGGATAAAGGAAACATATTGACCATGGATTGTATAGCCTGCACACCTCCATCCACCCAACCTCATGATGAAACCGGGCTTGTGTATTTTGAGGGTTCTCTTTTTGGCTTAGTTTAAAGAGGGAAAACCACCATTTTGGGAGCGCCTGAGTTTGACACATACTCAAATGCCTGTTCGCGCAGCAAGAACTGCCAGCGCCACTTGAGGAGGCCGTACTGAGTCTGGAAGTTGCCCGTGCCTCTGGGCGGAGTTCCATGGGGCTTTCTTCTTGGTACTTGACTTTAAACTTGCTGGTTTTCAGCAAGGAAAGAGCTGGAATATCCCCCATGAACACCTATTTTCATTAAGGGAATCCCCTTCCGGTTCATTCCCAAAACCCGGACTCGGTCATTCCCTACGGAGCACCAGCAAGTAAAGGGAAACCAAATCCAAAAGTCCAAAAAAACGCGGCACTGACCACAGTGCTGAAGGTCTGGGGGTATTCCCTGGTGCACAATCAATCCTTGACCCTTTCCAGTGGATTGTCTTGCTGTGGTGTCCCACTACGGATAACCCAGCTCTCGCAAACAAAGATGGAAGATGACCATTAGGCTTCCAGAATCCTCCTGCGCACTTCCATAATTGCTGGTATCTTTTTCTCAAAGTCAAAAGTAAACACATGGCCCATGTGTTTGCTTTTGACTTTGCCGAAAAGATACCGTCATGGGTGTGAACTTTCATTAGGCGGGCCTCAGGTGGTGATGAGTGGGATTTGCATATTTGGCCACGAACCATTTCGCGAGTTGAACAACTCATCGCCAACTCAATTTGTTTTTTGTGTGATGAAACTCACATAAACCCGCCGTAAGTATAGTCTTCCTTCTGAATGGCCTGAATGGTTTCTCTGAGGCATCTGGTCATGTCAGCTCGCTTCTACCATATGTGCGACCACGTCAACACCGCCATCCAACAGCCCAGCTAAATCATGCTAAGACTATACACTCTCCTTGACTGCATGGTTTAGAGCCGGAGCAACCTTTACTCCATGCAGTGTCACCACGACCCAAGTGCCTTGGACGAATCACATCCAGTACCAAGTACCGACCAGCAAGCTGTTATGCCGAATGGTATGTTTTGCTGAAGCCTAGAGCCCGGCCTAAAAGGCATCAGAAATATCAGCTCCGATTTCAATAAGTTGATCCATTTATGCATCTGCGCATGTGTGTTTCCGAAAGTCGCCGATTGGAAAATAGATATGGATGAAGGACCTTCGCTTCTGGCCTTGGGACAAGCTCGCAACTCATAAATCCGACAACTTTGATAGCTTTGTGTCTGGGTGTGAACTAGTGGGTCTGGGAGTCTGGAGAGTGGCTGAACAAGACATACATTCATTCGAAACTGTGGCGCTTCTTAGGGAACCCCCATTTTGGGTTGATTTCAATCACGGGAAACCAAAGGGGAACAAACAGCCCAAGTCGTTGTGCCGCGAATCCGATTTGGAGACAAACCCAGAACAACATCTGAGAGCGACATGTGGTGGATTGAGAACAAAATCGATTTTGAGACAAAAGCACAACCAAAAGTCTAAAAAATCAGAGACTTCGATGTGGATTGTTTGTCGAACCTCGGAGACATGAGCGAGAATGAAACTCGGTTTCCGGACCTTTTCGAAGTCCTGGCAGCCAGGAACATCCCCCGGTCGAGTTTTTTTTAGTCGGTTTAGACACCTGGGTGTGGCTCAAAATTAAACAAGAGGGGTTACGCAGGTTTTGGCCCATGTTTCCAATTACCAGGGTTCCATTTTGGTACCGGTTTTTTGAGCCGCAGCCATCTGGGTACAAGCGAAGATTCCTATAGGTCTTGAAGGATCCCCGCTTTTGGTAGGGTGAACGAGGGAATTTTGGAAAGCGTAGGTGGCTGTTTTGCTGTTCCTTTTGGGGGGGGAGGCCGAAAGGAAGGGTGTAGAACAAGTCCAACTGTTGGAACACAGCTGGGCGGCGTGCGAAGAAACGCAAAAGACACTCCACGCTCAGGGGGACAGCTCTCAGACGGCCGCTGCCAAAAGTTCAGCGCGTCGCTGGTGAGTGGGCAAAGCTCATTTGCCAAAATGGTTAACAGGTTACTCGGGGGAACAAAAGGGCAACCGAGCAATAGCACGTGGGCCGTATCCGATCACTCGATGACAAACCCACCTGAACTTGGTTCTGTTTCACCAGCTGTAACTACTCGGTCCTGCAGAGCTTTTCTTCCCCCCAACGTTTAGGGGGAGGGGGGGAGGGGCTAACCAATTCCATGTAAAGCTTTCCCCATAAAAGGCAAAATCAAACCATACATGGAATTCCAGGCGTCACCCGGCCTCCTTTTATTCTGACTTTTAAGGGTGCGGATGTGTTCCTGTCCAACGTGAGATTCGTTCAAGCTGCCGAAAAAGTTACTCAACAAATCTCAAACACAAGCGGATGGTGAGGCCGCAGGCCGGGCTCTCTGGGTAGGGATAAGCCATTCCCCAATAGGCCCTCACCCTTTGCGGTGAACGGACCTTATCTGTGTGTCTTCTCTTGGCTTCTTTTTTGCAACTGTGCGGATTCCTGGGCCCAATCCAAAAAGACCCGGACAGTGCTATCAACCATGGCCGACACCTTATACAAACATGGTCTACCGAACATCATTCAAAGGATTAAACACTTAAACAGGTGGCCGCACCCATTCAAGTGGTTGCGACCATCTCCTACCAACCTTCATTTGCTCACCTCCTGATGTGCCAAAGGAAGTCCAAACTGTTGGTTTGCCGTCTTCCCAGAAAGTGAATAAAGTCCGGGAAGTCAGAAAGTGAGGTTCTACCATCTAGCACGGAAAGTCAAGAGTCCACCCTTCACCTACCCTAAGAATCAGTTCGAATCCACGCCTCAGCCACCGAGTTTCGGGCCGAGAGGATCTCCTGTCCTCGAGTCTCGGCATCCAAAAGCCCACACATCTGTGTCTGTGCGTGCGACAAAACAGGAATTGGACCCCCCCAAAAAGGATTGGGCTTTCCTGTTGGTGTCCCTTGAAAAGGCTAAACAGGGTACTCTCAGGCTGTTGGTTTCCCTCTAAACCAAGGTTAGCAAAGAATAATTACTTGCAAACAACATACACATAGGGTTGAGCAACGTGCTGCTGAGGAATCCCTAAGGGCTCTGCGAATGAACCGGAAGGGGGTCCCTTTACATGAAGTGATAGATTATTTTAGGAGGTTGAATCTATGGATCCCTTTAGGATACCACAAAGGACGGTTGGGGTCATTTCCTCCTTTCCTAATCATAGAATTAGATGTGTGGGGCCTTTCAAGAGGATGGGCTTCGTCTTCTTCCAAAATCCGGCATGGTCAACTTCAATAATTGATTCGAGAAAAAGGGCTATGTTGAAAGAACCAGTCCCTTGAAAGAGCAACCATAACGAGCATTACATAACAGAAACCCGCATGTGTCAAGAATCATGGGAACCTAACAATGGCTGTCTTCCTCTTGGTTTCCCTGTGCACGGAGCCCGCGCAAAGCCCCCCCATGAAAAGGAACCTTTATTGGAGGGCATGAGGGTCCGATTTTGTCACTCCTGAGAAACCAGAAGAACTAGCAACCAAAACCGGATCTTAACTAAAGCGTCTGGAACCAGTAAAACAGAAACCCTTGCTTTTGGGGGATTCCCTGTGGGTGACTAAGCATTCTTGATAGCTTGCGCCCAGTCACGGCTTTCGGTCTTTCAACAAAAACGGGCCATGGAAGATGGGAAGATCCGTCCCAAACCCCCCGTTCCATATAACACTTAGGTTGAAACAACGGAGCATCCCCAAAATAACCCCGCCGTACAGTACTTCACGGGAAGAAGACTTCAGGATATCTTTCAGCCAAAGGTCGGGACCCCGTCACCAGGGACCCCGTTTTGAAAATGTTCCTTCGAACCCTGGGGCTCTGCTTTTGACTTTGATTTCGGGAGCCAAAGAACGACAAACAGCCAGTGAGTCATAATCAAAACCGATCAGTATTCTGTTGGTCCAGAACCATGCAAGGAGTTAAAAAGGCGGCTGCGCCGGTTTCATGGTTGAGATTATCCCTTCCGAACCTTCATCGATCGAATCTTGATTGTGGCTCATGTGGAAACTTAGCAAGCTGCGTAGTGTGTTGCCCAACTCAGGATCCACTACGCTGACTGGTATGGGACAGAATGTGTTTACCCCATGGGAAGTAGAACACTTCGTGGTGTCCAGAACATGCATTCACAGTGGGAAGGCCGGAGCGGTGCCACTCTTTCAACATAAGCACACCAACAGCCACTGAATGACATGCTCTAGCCTTGCTTGGGGGAAGCAGAGCAGCATTTATTATCTAAACACCGACCCACAGGAGGTCCCACGTCCACTATGAGAAACTTCCATGTAGGTCTGTCTTCATTCAAGGGTCCCCCTGTTTTGCTGGTTTTACAACAGGTTTCTTCTTCTCTTTTGGGGGGAGCCCTAAAAACAAGACGAGCCACCCATATCAAGATCCCTGACCAAGGCCAAAAGGACTTATATACGCGGAGCGTCTCTTCTTAATCCGGCCTCGGTAGGACAACGAGCTCCGGGTGGACCTGAAGCCGAAAAAACACAAAAAGTCTCAGAACCGCAAATGGGCACGGGTCAAAACTAAGCCACCAGGGGGTCATCCGCAGATTTTAGTCCATGCTTCGATAGGGCTCCATTTTGGCTACATATGTTTGACCCGTGGCCAAATCATGTTTTCGTTTGTCTTATGCCCCTTGTTGTTGTGTTCAGAAGGACACCGGCCATTGCTCTTTCTTTTTTTGGGGGGGTTCCTACTGTGGGTGGACAATATCCGCTTGCACCGCCTAAGAAACCATGGCTGAGACCATTGTTTGTCAGTATTATTTACAAGGGAATCAACCGGTCCCCTCTGGAAAATGGTCCAAACCAGGACCCGGCTCCAGGTTCTATATTATATGTGTGAGGGTAATCCCTGGGTGCTTTGGAACCCTCCCCCCCCAGCCTCTCCACCTTTCTTGGGAGGCCCCCCAGCAAGTTCCCTTTGGGTGGGGTGATGTTGTCAAAAGAATCATGCAAAACTGTTGGAATGGAGCTGGACAGAACCCCCCCCCTTTTTGTTTGTTCACCAGAAGTTGTACTCCATGCCCGGTTTTTTGGGACCTCCGGTGTCCCCTGTTTTCGTTGTTTTTGGAAACAAACCACAACAATTTTAGCGCGATTTTGAGGGGTGCTCTCCTGGGAATCCGGGCGTGTGTGGGTCCCAAAATGGCGAGGGTTTCCTTTTGGTTTCCCTTCAAACTGGTTAACCAAAAGGGGTCCACCATTCTGAGAAGCTCCGAATCCTAATCCGTAAGCTGTAGATCACCTCCTGAGAGTGGATTGGCAAAAAAAGTCTGAACTTTTGGTTTATCACCAAAATGGTCTTCCCAAAAAGTGACTAAAGTCCAGGAACTCATAAAGTGAGGACAGGGGAATGTTCTACCATCTAGCAAGGATTAAGGATTGACTCTGACCAACCCAGGGTCCTTTGATGCGCTTCCACACTCCTGCAATCTCAGCAAGCCTCTGGGTGTTGTTGGGTGGCTTTAAAAGGGAAACCAAAGGGATACCAACCCTTTTTTTGTGGGTCTCCGATTTGGACAACCCCCCGCCCCTTGCCCCCCCCCCCCCCCCCCAAAGATCCTTGTTTTTGCATGCAACTGAGGTCGGCCATTGGGGCTATACAAGGAGCTTGTTTTCGCTGGGTCGCGTTCTTACCCAGCCAAATGCCAGACCAGAGTGTACTTCAACGCAAATCAACATGGAACCCCTCCAAGTAAGGAAATTGCTCTAAACATGAGTTTCGGCCTTCTGTCACTCACTTCCTGAGTTGATGGTCGCAACAAGAACCCAAACTTGTTGCTTGCCACTAAGATGGTTGTCCCCAAAAGTGACTTAAGTTGCAAAGTGTGGCCCTTCCACTTCCTGGATAAGTCAAGGGACCATTCGATGGACTTCGACACAACCGCCTTTGTCACTCTGGGATCGACCGAACTTCGGTGCTCCGTTGCTGCGCGCCCAAAAAGGAAATGATTTGGCCGCAAGCCCTCCACTTGGGGTCCGTGCTGCGTCGCTCTCATGCCACTCTCCTATGCATGTCACCAAACGGCTTAAAACTGCCGTCTTCTCAGGCGCGTGCTCAGGTCGGCTATGAGAAGGTTTCCTGAGAGGCTGAGACTCGAATGCAAGGTTGGCATCAAAGGCGCGAGATTTAGCAAAGGTGCAAGGAGATCCCAGAGTGCTAAACGGTTCTTCGGAGGCCCAAGCCCCTGAGTTCCGCTTGTGAGGAATTTAGATGACGAGGGTTAATCATGACTTGTTTGCCTGGCTTGCAAACTGCAATTGTCAGAGCTTCTTGCAAATTCAAACGGTATCGTTCTGACAAGGGACATGTTGCATCGTTGAATGCAACATGCTGCTCATCAATGGTATCCAACACCGAAGGATCTAAGACTTAAAGCAAACAACATTCTAAAATCCTGCCCGTCTGTCGCGATGTGTCCCACCTTTGTTCCTCCCGGATCCGGTCTCAACCTTCCTTGACGGGAGGCCAGGGCGATCAAAATGGAACAAGGTGACAGGCTCGACCCTACGAGTTCACGGCGGGTGTCGTGGGAAAAAGGGCTAAACCTGGGAAGCTCTCGCAGCATGGGCCAACTCTTGGACCACACGCTAGACTCGGGCTCCCTCGCGCTGCCTTCTTACCAATCCCAGGCACGTTAGCCAATCATATCAGCTTTGCAGCCCTCAGTAAATACCAACGGCAACAAAAGAGCAACCTACCAACACCAGATGCGAAGAACTGTGACGTGTCTGCTCAACTCAAAGAACAGATCCCCTGAGTGGGTAACGTGTACTTAAAACCAGCGCAACGGATTGTAGTTGCCAAAACCTTCCACCTTCTCGGTTCCGCTGATTGGTTCAGCTCATGTTTCAACCTCGAAGGCGTCTGCATCTTCAGTTCAGCTCCAAACGCTCTTGAACAACTCGGACCTTGCTCACATCCCCTAGTTCCTGTGCCCCAAAGCTCTGAAACATCGGAGACATGGTCAAGGTGCATGATGTTTGTCCATGCAAAAGCCAACTCGGAATCAGCGACCCAAGAGAAACGCAACATCGCGGGATACTGGGGCAACACCTGAATCCCTTGCGTTGCTTTTTTCCGCTCAGCTCGCCCGTTCAAGCGAGGTTCTCCGGAAGCGACCCGTTGCTGCCGGGGCACCGCCAATTGATTGGGCTGCTTCGCTCCATCCTGAGATCGCGGAAGCGCGATTAAGAAAGTCCCGTGCAAAGAAGCCCAGCGAAGACTGCGGATGCTTCGTCTTTGCAAAGCGCACACGAGGCAAGATGTATTAGGTGTATATTATGTATTATATATATATATACGCCCCCTCTTGTTGGCCACGCAAAAAGGCAGTCAGACTCATTTGGCCACTCGCCCAGTTCGTTCATGGCTCGGCCAAGATGCATCGCGGTGGTAGCTCGGACGGCGGCCCCCTGGCTCGGACCACAGACTTTTTGATGGAGGCGCAAGTCACTAGTGACTCAGAATGACTCAACTGGTTGACCATCTAGCACCATAAGAAGGAAACTGACAAAAGTCTGTGTCGCTTGTTGAGGGTACACTGGTTGGATTGTTTAAAAAAGGAAACCTTTGAAGGAACATCACACTTTGGAGCGTCCCCTTTGCCCCATACCCAAATCTCGCTGCCGGAGTTGATGGGCCGAAACATGTGCAAACTTTTTCGTTTGCCACTACCTAGGGACTTAGAGACTCGTGTTTCTAGAAAAAAGGAAGAAAAACAAACATTGTGTTTTTGTTGATGACATTTTTACAGGTTTTGGGGTCTCCTAACATGGGTTCCTTGACTCGGTTGCTTTCTGCTGCTAAAAGTTTAACTTTTAGTGGTTTAGTGGAAAACCCATTAGTTGGCAAAAAGTTAAAGTCCTAACAGCCAAGCAAAATGCACCAAAGACATGCAACGATAAATTTCACCAAGTCCCTCGTACCCCAAAAACCCTCCGGGATGCGGAGGTCACGAGGTCGCTCGGCTGCGGCAGTTTCCTTCCGGGCCAACAAAAAATCGCCCCTTCATACCTGCTGGCCTACCCCTGCCCCCACAAATGCGCAGAGGGACACATGTACGGAACATGGCTGTCTTTTGGGAACGGGCCAAAGGTTGAAGAGGCTTCATATTGGGTCTCATGCTTTTGTTTTAAAGGGAAACCCAAAAGGAAAACGGTCGCGCCATTGAGGGGGGCCAACCTAAAAAAACACACACATCTGGGCTGCCCTCAGATCCCCCGCCAAAGTTTAACTTTTAGTTGGTTAAATGAAAACTACTACTAAACACTAAAAGGCCCAAAAGCTAAGGGGACGGCTGGGAGCCAGCAAGATGACAACAAACACATCCTTATACGACACTTTCGACTAGCATCCCAAGGGCTAGCGACAGCACTGGACGTGTCGCCTACCGAAGGGAAACTCCATCCACATGGGTGTGTCTTCCTTTGAGGGTGCCCGTTTTGATGGTTTCTACAGGGAACCCAACAAAAGACAAATCCGATCAAATCCGCATTGCCCCAAAAGGGACTTGTTTTGGCCATCAGCAAAAAGACATCTAGCTGCGACCCCTGGTGAGTCATGGGCAATGCAAAACTTGCCTTGCATCCATACACTCTCCAACCTGGAGAATGATCCCCCCATCCACTGCGAACTGACTATTGACACCAGTTGACATCAAAGAAAAAAGATTGGCACTATCTGGCTGGTCAATTGAAATTTGGAATACATTCATGGATCTCATGTGTTCCAACGAACACGCGACTCTTGGACATCCACAAATATGACGAACATAAGAAAACGCTGATCAACATCACATGGTCTGTGTTAGTCTGGCCTCATTACACGTTTGCATGTGAGCTACGCACAAAATTACATGGGGTTGATCAACAGGTTCTTTACAGGAAGACGATTCGGGAAAACGACTACAAAGATTACGTATATTTCCCACCAAAGGGGAAAAGTTACCTGCATAGTCATTTGGGGCCAGGAATATCGATCAACCCCCACATGTTTCCCCAAACACAACTTGGACCTGGCTGGTGCCCATTTTTTTGTTTGTGGCTTTGGAGCCTTGGGTGGTCTCCTTCTCGCCGACAACCAACAGATTAGACGACCAAGGGGCAAAAGCCATAAGACTCATCCGTTGACATGGACCACAACCTGCGGAATGGGACAAACGACCTACTAAGCCCATTCACTGTATGAGTGACTCATTTCATACAATTGAGCACCACCCTGCAGTTTCATCTCATCACGTCTGGCCCACCGTACCCAGACCCACACTGAGCGCTTCAATCCGTGAGCGCAACGGGGGTCCACCTGTTCCTTCACGGATGCGTAGCCCTGAAGAGGATGTGTCCCTGTCTGTGTCTGTGTGGGTGTCCTTGTCTGGCTTCTTGAGCAGCCTGAGTGGGTTGGCCAAAAAGAGTCCAAACTGTGTGTTCACCACTAGAATGGTCCAACCATGTCCAACCAAAAAGTGACTAGACTCCGAAACGGAAGTCAGGGAGTGATTTCCCACAGCCAGGGCTACTCCAAGACCCGCTCAGAGTAGAAAAATGAGTCTTTCTCTTTTTGGGGATACCCTGTTCGGGGTTGGTTTAAAGGGAAACCAACAGAAACACCGCAGCCTTTGGGGGTCTGACCTAAAAAAGAACACACCCAAATTGGCCCTGAAGGGGAAACCACCAGGACCCCAGACACATTTTCGACCCAATCGGCACCGAAGGTGGCCTCCTCAGCATCGATGCGATTCCTCCAGAACTTCTCGCATTGCACCGGATTCTTCGGCTCCGCGCCCACGTAGTAAGACATTTCACCTCGTGAAAATTTGCAACTGTGGATGGACAAAATGCTGCACCAATTGGAAACCATGGGAAACCATTGTCTGTTGGTATTTACAGAGAATCATCATTTTTCAGGGTTTCTGTTGTGGCGCAGAATTTCGTCCATCCACAGTAGGGGAACCCAAGGAATTGTGTTTTTTCTGTAGGGCTTCCCTTTAAGCCCCCAAAAAGTGCACGCTCAAACAATGCCCCACAAAAGCTTGGAACTCGGTTGCGGCGGTTCCGCGGATTTCTGCGGATTTCCAGTAGATGTCAGTGTATTTCTCGCAGATGTCCCAGCATTATGCACGACACTTTGTCCCTGGGCTGATTAAAATATAGAACATCACAATAAGTTGCACTCTTGCGCATGTTCCGGGGTTTCCGCCCAAACAAGCAAACGAACGGAACAACTGCAATACGCAGTTCAGACTTTGTTCCATTTTGAGGTTCTAGCTAGAAACTCCAAAATCTGAAATTGGGCATCCCCTATTTAAAGGCACTTCTCCTCACACATGCACAAACATACCCTGGACATTTGAACTGGGGGCATCCAAGCTCCAAAAACTCTCCAGCGCACGGTCGCGAAATCCATGTCGCACCACAAAAGAAACCCAGGCATGAGGAGTTCCAAGAAAAAATACCACTGGAAGTCTGCGACAATTGCAAGCATTCCGAAACCTGAAACTCACTTCCTGACTCGTTGTTTGTTGATATTTGCCACTCAAATGGTCTTCCCAAAAAGTATGAAGTCCGACAACAACATAGGCAGTTCCGGCTATGCTCCATCCAAGGAGCGCCAAACGGCCGGAGACCCCTCCGCTCAGCCAAAAGCAAATAGCGGAACGCGGCGGCCCTTTAGCTGGCAAATGACACAAAGAGGGTAAACAGAAACTTGTCCTGCACACAAAAGAAGAGTGTGTGTTCTTTTCAGAACACACAAAAACCGTCCATAACAGCTCATAACGTATCATAGCTCATAACAAACAAAGCCCATACTAATATAGGTCGGAGATTGGAAACCTTGCGGAACTCCAAACCGTTTTTTTTGTTGGTTGTTTGGTGTTTTCTTGTTTTAATGGGCAACATGGACACTTTGCTAACATGACCATGAAGGTTTGCACAGGTTGCTGCCGGATCCTAGAACAATCAACAAGTCGGCGAGTGTAATCATGTGCCCCAAGGACAGGGGGTGCAAAATGGTGTGTCTCACATGCGCAAGCGAATCTCTGGGTTTGAGGAACACTTGTGGATGCAAAGCTCCTACGCCTGGCTGCGTCGCCACATTAACTTTGTCTAAGCCGCTGATTTGCTGATTTGCAGTGTTGTGCCCATACGGGCAGAGGGAAAACATGAATTCTTGCGGGTCTAAGCCTGTCCAAGTTGATTCTCAAACTCGCAAGCGGTTCCTCCCCTACTCAGCTTCTCTCTAATTAGTGATTTGGATTGGTGGTTTGGTGGTGTTCCGGGGTGGTGTCTCATTTACCCACTGCAAGAACTAGGGGTTCTTTTCAAATCCAATCCACCAATCCAAACCACCAATGGTTGCCTGACCTAAAGCCCTAAAGGACCCTCTCAAAGAAAACCAAATCCACCGACAAAACCTCAAAGCTCGCCGGGTGCCAAAGGTCTCGTATCAAGAGCCCAGAAGAGCATCCTCTATCCACCAGGTTGATTCCGGATTCAACATGGGCATGTGGTAAAGGGGGGCTTTTGAGTCGCCAGCATCCGCGAGGTCAAGTTGAACAAGCAGATGATCATCTCTTAGCTAGGGCGAGAGATCCTAATCTTCCCAGCAGCTTGTGCGGAAGCGTCCTTACCCGCTTGTCAACAGCACCCCAGCAAGGGGCCTTATGCTCAACCGTTCACTCGCAGCTTCTGCAGTGGTAGCTCGCGCCTTAGGCTGCGGTCTTTCACTTAAATCTTCCTTCGCAACAAACATTAAAAACGGGTACCCTCAGAGAAAGACTCAGAGAAAGACCCACCCACGCCACATCCCAGCTGTAACTTTTTAGCCTGCGCGGCTCTGAACGTTCGCGGTCTTTGCGCTGTACTGCTCCCAACCTATCAGGCGAGCGAAAGCAACTATCACATTTGAGGGGCGTGTGTGCTTTAGTGTGTTGCTCTACCCTCAGGGCTCCAAGTACCCTCTGAAGATGTACTTGAGGGGTTCAGCATGGGCTCAAGTGCAAGCTTGTTTCTTGGCTATCCCTGCGAGACTTAACGTTGTGCATGCCAGGATCTTGACGGAACAAGTCAAGAGGGAGAGTTTCCAAAACAATCATATCTTGTCACGTCTTTTGCTTTGGTCAATACCTCTGGTGCATGTGGGGTTTGCATTGTTTTCGGATGTGAAGGCCGCATGCGGCAAACGCCTAAGTAGACCATGTTCATCACAAATGTGTCTTACTGCATCAAATCGAGTCCGGGAAAAACACCTATTTCCTTCTGGCTTTCTTCTGGGACATTTTGGCAACATGGGCAACTGAGCACCCAGTGCCCAAGTGGGGGGTACGCCAGGGTGAACGTAGATGGCACTGTGACTTTTCTGTCTGTAAGATTCTGTAAGTAGAGACAATGATTGAAGCTTTTGAGAGGTTGTGCCATCTACTTTCACTCAACTGGTTTACCACCCTTTCACACGCTTAGTGGCTTGAACTAGCCAAAAATGCTAGCCCTGCAGGACATATCTTTTCTTTTTGGAGGTCCACATCCTCATTTTAAGCCACCCCTTCCTGCACATTCGCCTCCCGCGCGACATCGCCTTGCAGGCGCTGCCGCGCGAGCAACAGCTCGCGTCATCTCGGAGGGGATTCCCTAGCGAAAGCGGCGGGAGATGATTCATTGCAAACATTGGGGAATCCTGCAAATGCTTTGGTTCCCCGTTGGCATCCCTTGCACTGCAAAAAACGTCCCAAATTCTGGGGCGCACATTCTACCGCCCACCAATGACCAAACGTTTCCGGCGAACGAAAAGGGAAATGAAGCCATGCCAATTGCCAGCAAACCAACTGAGGTCTACTCAACCGCGCACAATGGACCATACCCCAACTTATGATGGCAACCGCCGCCCGCGGATGAGGACGGGGCCATTCCCAACCCTTATTTGGGGGTCCAACAAACCTCAAGTGATGGCAGATGCGCGTTTCGACTCCTGCTCTGGCAAGATTGGAAAATCATAGCGTTGTTGTTCCAGAAATCAACAAGCTGTCCAAGGGAACCGATCCTTTCGCATCACGCTGTCTATGGGAAACCAAATCGCAAAGCATACACATGATTGGCCAACCACAAAGCAAGCAAGCAAGCAAGCAAGCCAAGCCAAGCCAAGCCAAGCCAAGCCAAACCAATCCAAGCCGAGCCGAGCCGAGCCGAGCCGAGCCGAGCCGAGCCAAGCCAAGCCGAGCCGAGCCGAGCCGAGCCGAGCCAGCAAGCAAGCAAGCCGGTCAACAAGACTCTGCACAAGAGTGGAGAAATCGCTCCACAATGGGACACTCCCATATTGATTAGACAGTTGTGTTGCATGGCGGATATTGCACACACACACACACACGCAGCATCATGGAGTGCTAGGCTGCTCACTCGTCTTAAGCTGAGCTGTCAAATGGAAGAGTTAAGCAAATGCCCATCTCCTTTTGGTTTCTCTTCAGGCATATTAAAATGATGGGCGCTTTAGCGCGCATCAATCACCGAGGGGGTTGACTAATCCTACTGTGGATGGACCAAATCGACTTCGCACAAAGCCACACATGGGCCTGTACCATATTTTGGGCAGGTGTTAAAGGGACACCAAAAGGAAAACAAACTATTTTGGAAGGGTCCCTAAAAGCAAGATGCCCTTTGTAAATGGAACCAAGTCTTCCAAAGGGGTGGATCCATGTTCTTCTGCGGGAGGGTGTGCCAAATGGGTGCGAATTGGGTTTTGTCCACCCACAGGTCAACATGAGCATGTTGTTTCTAGGGGACTCCCAAACTGCTCGATGTCCTTTTAGTTTCCCTTTAAAACCGCAAAACATGGGAGACACAGCCACACACCGTTCTCCCGAAATGAGAGCGAGCCTCGGCGCCGGGCCGAAGCGCTCGTCCATGGTCATCTTTGCCACCTGCTCGATGGCTATCCTCCTGGCCATGGCTCTCATAAAACAAACATCGCAGTGGGATGAAACTGGGGTGCCTAAACTGGGGTCAAATTGGCACCTCTGACAATGGGAAAACACACCCTTTACTCAACTCAGTGGCCCAGTTTGGACCCCGAAAAAAAAGAAGTTAAACCTTTGCCTTGACTAAATTTAGAGCAAGGGGGAAACCACAAGGTCAAAAGGTCGATTCGCTTTGGACACGTGAGTATCAGTTGGGCCTAGCCCCATCTTCAAACATCTTGAATCTTTGAAGCACACATCTTGAATCATTGAAGCACCCTTCTGCTCCTGACCCACATCCGGGAAAAGTAATCCGCCGACGCCAGTCGAGCGTGTAGATGGCAGTCCGCAACTTGGTCTTCCTTCGGATCTCTTATCAAAGCCCAAGGCTTTGGGGCTGCCATTTTTTGGGCATGGTGTGCTGGGTGTCCAAAACCCTGTAATTTTCCAGTGTTTTGGGGCTTGCCTGCTAAACACCTGCGTTTCGCCTAGGTCTCTAGGGGGGGCTTCCCTTAGGGCCCACTCGCTGTCGCTTTGCAGGTGGTTGATCTGCCTGTTCTCTCGATCTAGATCCAGACGCTCGCGTCTGTGGCAAAGGTGCCAGGTACTGCAGAACCTCGTTCGACCTGCTAAGCCTCAAAATTGCCACGTCCAAAGGCTTGTCTCTCGTCGGCTCCGCTGTCAATGACCCCATAGCTTCGATCGACGCCAGAGTGAAAACCTGCTTACCACACTCCACTACCTGTTGCAAAGTCACGCGGCTGAAATGCTTTTTGCACAACTGCAAAAACAGGTACTGCACCCATCTCAGTTTGGAAGATTGCCAGGCCCGCTTAGTCCATGGCCAAGCTCCTTCGGAGCCAGGCCGCCTTCAGCCCCACCTCCGTCCCAGCGTCCACCACTGGGGGGTTTCCCCCAGACGTGCAGGATCTGCATCCCCAGCATCATCAGGGTTGCCTTGCTGCTATGAATTTCTCTGTTTTTGTTGCAGATACTAATGGTGTTTTGCTGTTTCAAGATGTTGGAATCGGCCTGTTAGGGGTCTGGGTGAGGCCAAGTGCAGTGATACGTTGAGGAACTGTTTGAATTTGCAAACAGGAGTGTTTTTTTTGCAATTCCCCACCTGTACGGAGCAGTTACTGCGAAACATCCCCTGCATTATCGTGTCTTAGGGTATTTGAAGGGGTTGCTGGTATCTGCTTTTGATGGTTGATTTTGGGAAATACAAACAAATCCTGGTTTTTTGGACTTTTTGTGGCCAGCCGGCTGCATTCCCCAGCATTCCCAACATCTCTGGAATTTTCTGTCTCTGAAAGTCTTGAAATGTTGGATGCGAAGATTGGGTCTGTTCCTGTACATCGTGTGGTTGCATCCCTTGCATTTCCAGCATCTGGCACATGCTTCCTGACTGAAAAATAGGAAAGTGCCAAGAAGGCCTTGTTGGCACTTTCAGACTTCCACGAAAAAGAAAAAAGGTCTCAAAATCCCTTGCACCTCATTGGCGTCGGCGGATCGCGTAGCGATTTCAATATCTTCTGATTGTCTTTCATATTTAGTCTACCCCACAAAACAAAGTCCGCAATCCAACATGGCCTTGCAGTTTGGGTCACAGAGAAGGGCAAATTCTCCGAGCTTGGTCCATGCTCCACTATGAGGTCGCCGATCTGTCGTTTTTGGAGTTGGTACCC